ACGCATACACACAGAAGAAACGCCAAGTCCCGATGTCGCGTAGCGGAGGAATCCTCGCGAAAAATTGCAAGCGTTTCGTATACGACTCGCTCGCTCGCGCGCGCGCGCGCGCGCGCATGCTTTTATCTGCCATCAGAAAATGTTGATTGCAATATTTCGCTTCCGCTTAATCGACGAACTTCTCCTTTTCTCTCTTGTTCTCTTGGATGAACGTTGTCCAGCCAGACAGTATCGCGCGTGATCTTCTTTAGTGATTTTTCTAAGATTTTTAATTTAACGGAAACAGAGGAATTAAACGCGCGAGGACGCTTTCAAAGCGTCGATTGTGCAACAGCATCCTTGATTGTAGATTGATTAGATTCACTGGTTAGCAATCGCCGGGATCTACATGATTGCCTCACGATTGCGTTCGTGCGAAAAGTTGTTGAGTACGTTGTAATTATAATCATTGTGTCAATTAAACGCATTTCCCGAAATTATTATGATTCGCTGTTTAAAAGATTATCTCCAAATGATTATATTCATTCTAGATGTAAATTAATCCTGCTAATCATGCTAAATTTTCTTATCTCATATTGAATCTTAATTCAATTCTAATAGTAACGAATTTTTTCTGTCATTTATATATTGTCACATATATATTTTATCTTGTTAAATTTTTATTATTACAAGAATTCATTATCCTTTATTAAATATAAATTAAGAAAAAAAAATGGGCTAACGAAACTCATTTACTCGCAACAATTAAAACGAAATAAAAAATAGTCTCATTGATCTTTTTTTTTTGTTCTTTTTAATTCCTTTTTGATTCGTAATCTACTAGATTATGTTTATCAATTATGTTTATCAAAAAATCAATATTTAAATATTGAAACACAAGCGATATCATTAAGAAACTTAAAATTGTCTAATTTAAAATGAATTTAAATCTATAATCTCAACAGTAAAAGAGTCAAGAAAATGCCCAAGTTCTCAAATATCTATCGCATATCATAATGATTACGTATCCGTAACATACCATGTCAGAAAAGCTTGGAGCCGCACAAAACGCACTTAACGTCGAGTATGCGATGTAAACAAGAAGATTGCCGGTATCCGGCTACAATTAGCGTAGAAGCGGTGCGAACAACGGGCCCAGAAAGTCTCGCCGCGCTATCGGATCGCACGACCTGGGGCAACCTGTAACACGGTAGATTGTCGTTGTCGTCGTCGTCGTCGTCGTCGTCGTCGTCGTCGTCGTCGTCGTCGTCGTCGTCGCATCTCGCTCGGATTTCAGACTTCGGATTTCGGAGGGCGTGTGTATCTTAATCGCGGTATCTCATCTAGATAGGCCGCCGGCATCAAGATCGACGGTCCGCTCGTTCGTTCGCGCGCGCGAGTTACGCGTCGTATATACGCAATGCACACAAACGGGACGTACATGTGTATTTTGTGCGCGTATTGTGCGCGATGTGCGTGCGTGCGCGCGCGCGCGTGTGTGTATGTGTGCACGTATCTAGCCGGTAATCTTCGCGCGTGGGGCACGTGGCTCGCGCGTTCGGGCTCTCGTTTTCCTCGATCCGATCTAAATTCGGATCGGCTGATCGCGTGGAGAAGGCGTGCGTCTCTCTTTCATCACAGGAACCACACATGTTGGGCCCCACATCCCCAGCCACCTCGCGCCGATCCGACGGAATTATTCAACATCTCTCGTCGGCTCGTGCTGCGATCTAGATAACCGCGATCGGCCTGATTTCCTTTCCGTCGAAAAGCGCGTAAACGACCCGAGTTTGCGATCGTAGTCCCTCATGAATGAGTTATTTTGCGCTTCGAGAGATACACATCAGTCAGAATATTCTTCCTCTCTCTACTCTTTTTATTTACAGATTGGTTGACTAATTCGAAACTAATTTTTGTTTAATAAAAATATATTAAAAGAAACGAACGCTTGTGAATTGTGACCGATTAGGAAAGTTAAAGATGGTTATATTAAATCATAATGTGGTATCAATTAATTCAATCGTGCAGTCAACCAAATCGAAAAGTTCCGCGAGAAAGGGCGGAAGATTAAAAATTATCTACGACAATTTCATTCGTCATTGCGCTACGATGATACGTTAGATTTTCGATTGGTCAGCGCGTTGATAAATTGCCGACGTAAATAGCACCGCACACGCTCTGTAGCTCGCTGCAATATATTCAAAGTAGGCTATAGAAATGTATCGTGCATGTGCGTCCTGATGGAACGATTTGGCACTGTTGAGCCGCGGTATCTGCCAATCGGTGAGGACTGCATTAAATCCGCTTGGGAACATTGAATTTTCCGCTCGCGCGCGGTGTCCCGCTATAGACATTCCGTTCTGAAATACTCCGCTTGGATATTGTTGCTAGGTAGAAGCTCCAGCTATTCTCCCACCCGTGAATTATTTCTGCTGAAGGCATCAGGCAAATCACGCTTTTACGTATGTGCATGCTCTATTTATGAATTGATTTCAATAATGCCAATTTGTGTGCGAATCTCCCACATTCTTTTTGTCGACAGAAGGCACTTCTGAGAAATATTCACGCGTCATATAGATCCCAATGCTTTACTCCTTCGTAAACCGGTACGGACAAGATAAATGACCAAAGCGGGCTCGATGCTCGAAAGAAATTACGTCTAAGCTAAGCGGGTACCGCCTTCTCTCATGAATATTCAGTTGGCCAATAGAAATCCGTCCCACGATGGCAGCAGTCTAAAAATTTCAATAACATAATCGATCGTCGCCACACGTCTTCATCCATGTCGTCTCTGACTATGCATATCCATCCTCTTATCGCTATTATATTACGCTAATTTTATGAAGGCACGAGACACTTGTCCTTTCGTCGTTCTCTCGCATTTTCTCGTCAACGGCGTTGACAGCGGCGGCGGCAATAACATCGTCGGCGGAGGAGCGGTACAGCTGGGGGCATAAGTGCATATACGGGTGAGCAGAGTGCACTTCTTCGTCGGATAAGTGGTGGGAGGGGGACAGTTACGCCCCTCCGGTAGGTTGGACTCCGGCCGAGGGGCGGCGCCGTGACCGGCCGAGCGCTGCCGAGCGGCGCCGAACGCGGCCGAGCGCGCAGGAACGTGGGGGCTCGTGCAGCGCACTGTTTTCATGCGCTTAGTTTCGCGCCGGGTGCCACGATAGTCGCATCGAATCGAGTTCGCGCGCGCGTGCGTGCGTTTTTTGAAAAAAAAGAAAAAGAGGAAGACCCGCGAAAAAGACTAGCCGCATCTTGTCCACTCGATAAGACGAACGTGACGAAGAGGCCGGAAGGAGGATGGACTAGGAGGTGAATTTTGTGGCGGAAGGCGGAGCACACAACGGGTACGAGTTCGCGCGACAAAGTTCTGTCTCGCAAAGTGAGAGAACGTCATCGGTCCATGCATCGAGATCCTTTTGCTCCTGAGGAAGACATCCAACAGGGGAAGTGAGAAAGAGAAAGAGCAGAAGCATCGATCGATCTGATCGATCTGCTCGCGCCCCCCTTCCCCGCTCGTTTCTTCACTCATCTGCCTGCCGCCTGAGCAAGACTTCACGAACGCTACAATGTGCTGTGTGTGTGATGTACGGTGCAGTGTGTTGGTGCTAACTTAGTGATAACGATATCCCCCTCCTCCGTCACATCTACATCCGCGAAACCTACAATAAACTAGTCTTGTTATCTCGACCGGGAATTGCTGCCGGAGATAAGGTAAGGGCAGACAGCGTCGACGATCGTAGCCTTTTGATTATGCCGCGTTGATTGTTTCGCGACGGGGGGGCACTTTGCGATGTGCTGCTGACTTGACCTTTATCCAATCCACTCCCCCCCCCCACCCATCGAATCATTCTTTCAATCTTTATAAATAGTTACCACCATTCGCCACACGTAAATTAGATTTATCTCTTAACGATTGAGAATACGTAAGTAATATTTTTGACATGACTTGAGGTCTATGAATATTAAATTATCGCCGCGAATAGCGTGGAAGTTCGCCTTAATTAAATGTACTGTAGAAAGGGAATCACGTTAGGTGTAACTGAACAGCACTTTCGCTTCTGAATACTTTAAATGTGATCAGGTAGGTACAAGTTGGTAGAACAAGATCAATCTCGCGTTATCTATATGCGAATAAAATATCATGATTCTATCGGCATCAAATATGAATCGTACTGATTGTTATGTTTTTGACATATCATATTTACTCGATCTGCGATTGATGTTATTTCATGATGTTATTTCATGATTGGTTATTTCATCCAGTAATAGATTTGACATTTTATGTGCCTAAGTTTCGATATTGTAGAAAATATTTCAATTAAAGTTACAGTTAAGTGAGTTTCAAAATCCATTATCGAGTTATCTATAATAGAAATAGGAATATGGATGATTAAACATATCTCTGGTCTGCTTAATTAGCAAATTCGGAATATATTAAATTTCATGTTTAACGGTTTAATAATTTATTTCATTTTACAATTTTTAATATTTCTACACTGTGAAGATAAAAAAAGATCGAAGCTTTAGTGAAAATTTGTGAGCTGTATATTTTTCATCTAATAAATTATAAAAGAATGAAGCATTTAATCTAGCTTCGATTCATTAATCCGTTATTTATTTTATGTTGATATTATATCTCTTGAGCTTATTATTATTTTTAATAAAGAGACATTCTAAAATGTTTCAATGGTGAATAGTTTGATGGGTCACACTCGAACATTTCTTGTGACCTAATAAATCTTCCTAAAAATGCTCGATTACGATAGGTTCTTACCACCTACTTACTTCTTGGGTTTTTTCTGTATCTTTTCGATCCATATTTTGCGTATATCTTTACGGATGATTATATAATGTTTTGTTCGACCGAGACGAGACGAGCCGAACTGAAGCGAGCGAATCGAGAGTTGAAGCGAAAACTAGGTAGTCTCAGGTGAATTCCGTCGGCAGGTCTAAACCGGTCTAGTAAACAAGAACAATGCTATTGACCTGCGAAAAGACCTTTTTCCGACATTGTCACGAAAAGAAAGGAATCCAACACTTCGAAATGTCATCAAATTTGTTCAATCGATTTTCCTCTTCAACTTTGAAAATTCATTTTAATGTCTTTTACAGTTTCTTCGATGCGACTAACTTTCATGTTTAACGATTGTAGTTAGGCCTAGAATCTTATTTGCGGTTTTTCAATCTTGTCCATTTATGCTTAAGGACACTAAAGAATGATTTGAGCACTCTTGTCGGACATTCTGCACTGACCGTCGCCATTTGTAAGAAATTTAAAAGAAAATGAAATTTCTCCGAAGATTTCAAAAACAGCCTAAATAATTATTGAAAACAGATAAAGTCCTTGTGTAATTTGTATTATGTTTAACGTAATAAATGACTACGCAAATGTGTAGAATATGAAATTGCGAATAAAGTGAAGACTGATGTCTTTTCTTTTAAAATTAATTAATCCTTAATTAATTTTATATTAATTTTTATTAAGTATAAATATTTTACAATCTCTAAACATGTGAAACATGTTTTTTACCTTTACAATAGACGTAATTGTAAATATAGATATAATTTAAACAATAAATAAATAATAAATGAAATAATAAATGAATAGTAATAACAACAAATTATTTCTTTATTTCTCTCTCTTTCTCTCTTTTTAATTTTCAAAATGGCATAATTTTATTTATACGAACAAAAAGGACAGAATTTTCTAATGAATGACATCTCAGAATATTTAATTAATAACTTACTTTTTATTTAGTATATAATTGAAAAACGTTATCTGCTATTCTTACTTTCTAATTTTTACGACATTTCCAGAAATTCTTTAGAATTTAAGACATTCCGCAAATTCCGACTGCATTATGATATGGTGAAAATATATTTATAGCATGAAATGAATTACATGATTGATTCATTTTTAATATTATTATCTATTAAAATTTTTAATTTTATTTTTTTTATCAATAACAAAAATTGTTTTTTATTTTCTCTTTTTTAATTTTCAAAATAGCAGTGTCGTTGTTTAAAAAAGAAAAGGATTTTCCAATGAATGCTATCTCATATATTCAATTTATAACTTATCTTTTGTTCAGCATGCAATTGGGAGAAAAACATGCTACTCCTATATATTTCGTTTTTTTTATTTTCACTACATTCCAGAAATTTTTTCGTGAATTCCACAAATTCTGATTGCACATCTCGATTAGTTCACTTCAGAGTTCTCATTTAAGTCTGTCATTTCTGATCTTAAATAATTTATTAATAATACTTTAATAATAACTTTTTAGTCACTGGTAATTTTCTAACATTAAATATTACAATATTCAAATAATGTTCTAACCACTTAAAAAAAATGTATATTTTAAATTGATATCATTTTTAATCATGCTTTAGATTTTATTATAGAAGTAATTTTCGTAAATGTGATAATTGGATAATATATAATTATCTCTTATTAAAATTACAATGTTTATCTTTCATAAGATATTTAACATGAACACTCCTGATTATATATCTGCCATAGCGTTCCCTTTCGATGTGAATGTAATTTGCTTTCATTTTTCTTAAGCTTTATCATCTTGCGGAAATACGTTCTTTTTCTATGGAAAAAACCGTAAAGGAATGTTTTCATTTAAGACATGTCAGAAGAGGAGAAAACATATCAGACGGTTCGCGTAAGGCGGTTTGCATAATTAATAATTTGCAGATGTAACACAGACAGGCCGATATATAATATAAGATATATAATAAGACAAGTAGAGATATGAAGCACTTGGCTAGTATAACTCGGCTAGTATTCTAACTTGAAGATAGAAAAATACGAGGACGCGGTAATATTAATCCCTCGGTAGCAGCAAAGGTAACATTAACTCTTTGCGTTCTCGGGTATTCATCTACTAAAGGTAACATGAGAAAGATTGCGATGCATTAACGTAGTTATACTTGCAACTTATTCGAATCTCAACTCACCTGTCATAAAACTTGGAGATCTTTTTTAATTTATTATAAAGAAATGATAGTAATTTCTACATCGCACTCGATTGTCACTGCTCGCTCGCTCATCTCTCGCTCGTTCTCTTAAAAATATTAATACAGCCGCCTTATTCATTCTGCTTCTTTTAAGAGAAGCAAAGAAATATAAAAATCTGCTCTTTTGTTGCAGTTTCTGAAATAAATGCGATTTTCGCCGTTTATTCCACGAATCCTTTCGCCCAGGAGAAGATCCTCCTGTCTCAAAATCCAATCCTTCGACCTTGAACGTCACTCGATTATTCCGTGAACGTTCGGACAACGTCCTCTCGAGCTTCTCGAAACTCAGTTCTCTTTTTCTCCGTTTTCTCATGCCAAGGGGAGTATCGCGTTACTATCTCACGGCGTTCCAAGTCCCTCGCGTTCTCGATTATTTCGTCCCCGATCCGTTGGTCGAGTGCGATGGACGGACGGATGGACGGACGGAGTAGCCGCTAGTCCGATCCGAGAGAGATCCGCTTTTCGAACTTGCATTTGCCGAAGCGACACGTCGATGACGTCCCTCCTCTTATTTCCATGACCGTGAGAGTGCGTGTCACGGGCCGATGATTCCATTCTTCACCCCGTACGCATTTCCAAGCGCGCGAGCGAAACGTTTTATTCCTTTTTTCGACTCGCATCGGATTATTAGAACCGACGCCTCGCAATTAATCCACTACGTGTCTCGAACGAGTCCTAAATGCGTCATTGCGAGCGAAATGCTGAAGCGAATCCCTCGGGAATCGCGAGAGTTGCGAGTTGCGTTCCCGACGCGACGACGCTTGACACAGCAAAATCGAATATGTTTAAAAGATCGAAGAATATTGAATCAGATCTTTGAATGGGATATTTAAAAAAAAAATCATCATTTATATCAATTATTCTTTTTTTACGCCAAAGTAATTCAATACACGTTGAATCTGAATTAATGTCTCTGGAAGTGAATGGAGTGAAATGTAACGTGTTCAAATGTAAGGTATATTTGCTCCTTGATCTTGAAGCTGTAATGAATGCTAAATTAGTCGCCGTATTTTTTAGGCATTGAAATGCGTTGATAAAATCGACAGATTCTATCGTTGGTCTTATTTTATTCACGTCGTGATAATAGACGAGAGTAGCGTCGTCGTTATCGATCTAATTTTCTCCAATCTTCGAAACCTCCGTTGATTTTCAATGTTGCCTGTGTGTGTGTGTGTGTGTGTGTGTGTGTGTGTGTGTGTGTGTGTGTGTGTTTCCGAGCAGACGCCGCCACGACGTCGACGACGTTGTTGCGGACGTTTTTGAAGAGATTAACGAATTTCGATAAGATTAGCGACGTGATACGTGATCGAGGAGTTCATGCCGATGGAGTTTCGTCGAGAGTGGACACAGTGATGTAATCCACTGTAGATAAGATCCACTAGATCACAGTAGGCTTAATAAAAATACAATTAGCGTTCAAGTTGGAGACAAAAATCAAATCATTCTGGCGTACTAAACAAGCGGAATTCTCTAGAATTCTCTTCTTTCTCATATTTGTCAATCGCACGGAAAATATCGCAAATATTTACAGGCTTACAGCGTACTGGCTAATCAGACGATAGAAAAACGTATGAATTTTTATTAATACCTCGGGAAATGAGGGGAGCCAATTTTTTAATAACTATGTTTGTTTATTAGACTTTACACGATAAATCGTGAGATCATGAGAAAAATTCGTTCGCATTAGTGAAAACTCGTTACGTCCTATTACCATCGATGAAATCATCTTTATCGCAATGAGCAAACGTATATGAATAATATACGCTTATCAGCCATAATTATTTCTTCGGCGGTTCAACGGACGTGCTCCAATTTGCTCGAACCTGTTCTTGTCATGGTCGCCGTATGTAATATTCACGATACATAACGGCGCCGATCTAGGAAGTAACCGCTTATCGTCTTATCGTCGTCTTATTCACGCGAAGAATCGGGGGGGTTTTTTTTTTTTACAATTTCACGTATCGAATGTCGTAATATCTCGTGATTAAAGTCTATTACAATATTTTCGTGTTGGTTATCTGGCCCAGGATTTCTAATTATCGCGATTGACAAATCAGTGAAAAACCCAGCTCACGATCTGTATGAGTGATCGAAAGTGCATATCGGTCAAGTGATCTGATTTCGATTATCTAAAGCCGAATGTCTGTTGTTAGATTAGACAATTTTTCTTCACGTTCTGATTTTCAATAATAATAATAATAATAACGAAAGAGATGAAGGGATGAAGATGAAGAGATCAAATTTTTTCCGTCAGGTAGAGGGGAAGAAAAAAGAAAGCGAGAAAAAAATTGGCAAAAAGAAACGACTTCTTTTGTTGGTAAATTTCTTTTTTTTTTTTTTAGGTAAAACAAGTTTAGCAATTAGCAATAATTTAAAACTGTGAGAATATCTATATATTCGCAGTAGTAAATATTCGAGCGGGCTAATGGTTTAAGCGACTGCTATATGGATGCGATAAAAATAAAGTGCGCTGCTCGCGTGATTTATATTACCAAAAAAATATTATTCCGATGGTGAGATATCTCTAAAAAGTAATCGCCCGCTCGTCTTGCGATCGTGTCGAGCGATACGGTTTGATTGATCTGTTCAAATTTAGTTATATCTATGATCGATCGAGTCGAGCGATTATCTTTCCGACGTTTTTGATGATAACCGCCTAAATTGGGCGACAATTTGAAGCCAGTCAATGTTTTTCAATGCGCTTAATTAATGAACCGCTTGATTAGCGTATTATTTCTGATCATTGATATTAAATGATATTAAACAGATTTCGCAAGAAGCATCGAGACCAATTCGAATTCGCCGAACTGTGTTAGTATTCATGTTACACGTTATAATCATTATTAGCATAGTCTGATACCATTGCCTGACGCACGAAATATATTTGCATAAGAATATACATACGTACAACGTATATATATATATATATCACATAATACGTTAACAATAACGACAGAAAAATCTCGATGGCCGAGCAATCAAAATTAATCGGATATGCGTGTCGTATATTCCGCGCGGTATCAATCTTATCGCCGCTTTTTCGTGTGTATCTTATCGCGCATTGTTTTCGAGTGCTTTATTTGCTCTGGGCAAGTAATTTTCAACGCAAAGTGCAAGGGAGAAGAGGCGAAACACGATTTCCGTAACGTAATGTCCGAATTTGTCCGAAGAACAATCCCATCATCGTCGTCGCCTGGTCCTTTTTGCGCGTCGCAAAAGATTCACTATTTTGCGGCTTCGACTTGAAAACGAGACTTATTAACCGGCGTAACCGGTTTTCTCGGAAGAGATATTTTTTCCGCAAACGCACGCGCAACATTTTGAGTCCTCGCGGTGTAATAATAAAAAATTCCGCGGAATCCTCCCCACGATCTCCCGAAGGTGGTGGTTATCTAACATTTCCGAAAGCGTGTCTCGATAAGAGGATTCCGTTACTTTTCTCCCGTCCCTCCTTGCGGCCGGTTCTTCTCGCCGTCCCTTTTCCTCTCGCGCTTCTCTATCTGGATTGGGCGATTAAGCCCGACCTGTCTCGGTTACGTCATCGATGACCTTGATCGCCCACAAGCTGATTGATAAATCATTTCGAGTACTTGATCGTCGATCAGTATGTTCGCACTAAAGCGCTGATCAGGATCCAATTACCGTAGATCTCGCCGATCGATTATCGAAATTCGACGTGTTACGCTAATACAACAATTAGGGTAAGTCTGCTTTTCGTGCATTTCCTCCGAGTTCTATCCTCTCGAGCCCGCGATATCGGACGAAAGAATTTAAAGCCTCTTTCTCACGTATGGAAAAACGCAGCGGTTTAATTATACCTTAAGCGTAACGCGTGGAAATAAATCTAAAGCTGTCCAATTCGAAATATACCAATTTCGATGTCTGAAATTCGCATAAATCAAATGCAATATTGCTCAAGATATTCGGTCGCCCCGTGTATATATAAAATATATTTCAACCTTAAAATAAATCGTGCTCGAATGCACAACCTTTTCTCTTCTACCTTCGAATCGCCTTTAATCGTCAAGTCCGACGGGTCATCTCGCGTCTTCGCGTTTTTCGCGCCCGGAACTGCTCGCGACACGGACGTGAAGGAAACGGGGAGGAAGAACGAAAGAAACGGTCTCAAAAACAGGCGGCGCATTATGCAGCTTGTACGCGATGAAAGAATCATTGAAGCGTCTCGTGTTTCCAGTTCGGTATTAATTTACCGCATGCGTGTCCGCCCGGTTCATGACACGCCGTTCCTCCTCTTGCGCGACAAGGGCGATATCGGAAAGGCCGGTAAGGACGCACACGTAAAACCGGCGCGGCTTGTCGTCGTGCACATTACAAAGTTGTTCATTATCCCGTACCTACATATCGCGTATCGCGGTTACACGATCGCGATCAGAATCCGAGAAAGCCGTCGCCGTGCCCCGACGGCTTTATTGAAATGACGTGCCGAGAGATACCGCCGGATACGCGTTGTCCACCGGCATTGACTTTTCGCCGGCGAGCTCGCGAAGTCGAGTTATCGATCGGTTAATTAATGCGGCAATAATTTTTCATATTTGACAGCGTCTTATTAAGACAGCCCGCTCGCGCGTATCTCCCGCGAATGATATAATTAATTAACGCGCCGCCCGTGCGCGTGTCTAGCCGCTTAACGAGGCCGTGTGCAAATCGCGGAATTATTTATCGCTAATAAAGTCGAAATTTTCCCACCGCCTCCTGGCGCGAATCGCGTTCGACTAAATACTCTTTAATTAACTCTTCGCTTCGCGTTTGTATATAATATCCCTTATCCGCGCACCTTACGATTACGACTCGTAGCCATATATTCTAAATATCGGTGGTGTCAAACGTGGCGTTACCACGTTCATTTCCATAAGCGAGCTTGCGATTGTAATTTTACACAAGTCGTAAACTGAGTAATTCACAGCCTTCTTAAACTATATTTCTCGCTGATTATACGAGATCCTATTTTCGTGCGAAAGAAAGAATTAACGAGGGATAAGAAAAACTTAATCGATCAACGACCGTTTCTCCGAGCCAGGGAGCAATTGGATTAACTAACATTCGATGTGTTGTTTCGCAGAACGGAGGCCAGGAAGAAGTTCCTTTCGCTCGGCAAATCAGACCAAGATTACCTATGATCCCGCTGGGCGTCGCGAGGACGACGGAAAAGGAAGAGAGGCGCTTTTGGCAGTATTCCTAATCTTCCTCCTCCCCGTTCTCTCTCTGTATTCTGCCATCCGCCCCTCTCTCTCTCTCTCTCCTCCCTTTCTCTCGCCTCCTCTTCCCGCTGCTGCTTCACCACCTGCTCGTTTCCTCGACGAGCGATCGCGACGCACCGAGATCTCGTTGGACACGATGGACATGAGCAGCGAGTCAAGCACCGCTAGGTGGTACGAGCCGCCTAGGTCGTCGTTGGAGCCGCCTTCAGGGGGTGCCGGGGTGGCTGGAGTGGTCGGCAACCCCAGCGATTACAGGGGTTACTACCCCCACGCCGGACCGACGGCACATCACCCCGCGGCCGCACATTACGCCCACAGTAAGTACCCGCCATTCTCTCCTTCTTTAATAGCCGCTCACACCTTCCTTTTATCTCTTCCTCTCTTTCTCTCTCGTCCCGTCTTTGGCTCATCTTCCCGTTTTTCTTTCTGTTTTTCCTTCCTGGGAGAAGCTGTCATCGCGGTTCAACGACCGGACCGCATGCCGACCGATTTCCCTTTGAAGACTTGTGACGGGCTCGAAATGAAAAGAAGCGAGGACTCTCTCGAGAAAGGGCCTCAGCCTTTTTTCGAGCGGCGAATACCGCTGCGGCTATTAAGAGGATAATACGTATAATCTTCGAGCCACTTAGCGTTATCGATTGAAATCCGCTTTAACTTCATTCCGATGCTTGCACAGTAGCAGCTTTCGATAATGGCAATGTAGCTTGTCGCATAGAGACCTGTGTGTCTTTTTTTTTTTTACTTCGAGTATCAAGTATTAGAAAAGATAAGACGAGGTGGAAGAAGGGAGCGTCAATTTCACAAAAGAGTTGAAACGGACCGTCTAACGAATTTATATGACAAAAGGCGGTCGCTAACACCCAGCCGCAGTCTCGTTTCTCGCGTGATTCCCGCGGTTTGGGTCAACGACCGTCGGACGGTCACCTCTCCGCGGGCACTTCGCATTAATTAGAATTTCTATATTTAATTAACGAGGCGTCTCCGAGGCTATCGGCGCCATCGAATGTCTCCCCTGTTGCATCGCCATTTTGCTCCTCCTCCACGGCTAGATACCTGCCCCGATAATTAAATTTCTACCGCGGCTGGATAGGCGCGTGACATTGTACCGCTGGGAGGCTCCGCCGGAGTTGACAACCGTAACATGCCACCGGGATAGTTTCTTAGCGCAGCGCTAATCCATCTCGAGCCCCCCCCCCCGAATAAGAGCCAGGCATCCTCGAGGCGCACTCGAGAATATGCACTTTCGAGCACGCAAGTGCGTTGTTGTCGTACCCACGTGCCGCCTTCTCTCCGTGTCCCGCGCACTTAACTCCCTTCGTCTCGTGGCCCAAGTCCTCCTCTCGACTCTCTCGCCGGGCAAATGACTTTTCGTTTCGAATGGAATAACCCTCGCCACTTCTCTCTAGCGTGAATGACAACGTGAGGCAGAGACGCGCGGCGAGAAGCGGGGATTACGCGATTAGCGATGGCGTAAATAAGAAAGATGCGTAAACGCAGGAAACGTGTGATTAGTTGTCCGTAAAAAGGAAGCCATCCTGGGGGGAATAAGAAATAACGCTTGTCAGTCAAGGGAGGAAATAAAAAAAGGTGTAATTTATTAACGATGAAAATGGAATAGTTGAAGGCCAGAGGAAGTCGCGATGCTTATGTATAAATTATATCAGCAGTTTGCAAAATAAAGGAAAAACACTTTTGTTTATTTTATTTAATATTTCGTATACTACTTAACATAGAAACTTATCGGGAATAAAATGTGAAATAATGACATTTCTCTCGAAAATATTTTCACTTCGATAACTTTAATCTAGCTTTAATTTCTATTGTTTGTTGTTTGGTTTAGCGTGTAAGATCCCTCTTACAAGGTTAGTTTTATTATGCACTGTTAAATACATAAATTTATTATGCACTGTTAAATACGCAAGTTTTAAAATGTTTGTTGTTATTCCGCATATATTTTAACCGACAACAAGCAACTTACTCCTCTCCGTTTCGAATTCTATATTTTTAAATAATTCCACGCGAGAAAATATTCCATGGTGTCACGCAAAGAGAAAAAGGGAGTCGTTTCGAGAGAAGAGGCGCGCTACGCCGATAGTATGTATATTCTGAGATGTATGTAATCTCGATAGCTTCTTCGGTTCCTCGCCGTTGGCCAAGCGTGAAAAAGCGTAGCGTAGGTAGAGGAATGTAGGTAGTAAGATAAAGGACATGAGGAGAACGCGAGGAGAAGGAGAAGAAGAAAATAAGGAAGAAAAAAAGAAGAGAGGAAAAAGAAAAAGGATGAAACGAGCGTCGTCTCGTTCGAGATTCTTTGACATGCCGAGGAAAACCCGAAGGAGGGAAAAGGGGAGAGAAGGAGGCGGTGGAAGACAGATGACGGAGGCATGGATGGAGAGAAACGAGAGGGAAGGCAAAAGGCCAAAAAGTGCGATTGAGGGACCGAGGAGGAAACACGATACAGCCGGGCCAGATCTTGAGGCCCTGGAAGGCGATATCCCTGATTCGTGCCGACGTGCATGGATCATACTCGACCCTCTGTTAGCTCGTGGCTCTCAAAAAACCGCGTCCATAATCAGAATCAAATCTGCTGTCCGATTGTACGCTCCGAGACGATGGGGAAAAAGCGCGGAATTTCTTGCGACTTCTGCTGGCTCGGAGCATCGCGCGTCGGCGATTTTACTTTCCGCTGACAGAAACCACTTGACTTGAAGAAGAAACGGTCGGTCCCGTTTGATTTTCATCGGTCAAGATGCGCAACCACGCCGGAAAATCCGAGCCTCTTAAGGCGTTCCGGAGTTTTGACAGCGAGTGACGAGCAAGGCGGAAAATGTTGACATTTACCAATCACCTCATCTTTCGAAATGTTCGGTCTTAATCATCGTGGCGATGTTATGACAGTTTAATAGTGTACCAAAGTAGTGTCCAAAGTAATTTATAACTACGTAAAAGCGGGGACCGGGACTGTGATATATAGAGGGAGAAAGCAGACCAGGATTGTCGAAGTCGGGATCGCTTAGCTTAGCCACTGCTGATAAAAAAATTGAGTTGCATTCTTGTGCTCGTGAAACGCTTTCACGCGCGCTTGACGCCAAAGCGGAGCGTGCATTTTCCTCCGATTCTCG